TAACAATCTTCCCAGGAACATACTCAGATCATTGGTAAACCTCTGTGGAGATGCTAACACAGTTTATGGAAGAACCTCCAAAAATCAAGATGATGTGAGCCTGGCAACTGATCTCTCCTCTGACCTAGCTGTAACAACCCAAAGGTAGTGGGGTGACTTTTAACTGTTGATACCTCAAAAATCAAGCTAGTATCATTTCATTATCATCAATCAGATCCTGAATTTTTTTTCCAGTCACGATGAATGGCTGCTCTCTCTCAATGATTTTCCCTGCTTCAAACATCTATTGGAGCACACATATACAGCATGGACCATTTCTAAAGATACTGGAAAAATAGTCAACTCCTTGTACCACTCCAGAAAGTACCTGATGTCTTCTGCCCTGTTTTTTCAAGAGTGATTAGACCAGAAATGGAATATCAGGGCTGGTGCTGCCCAATCATCAATTTCCAGCCATAGTTCAAAGTCATTTACACAGACATATTTTCTACTGTGCAATCCCTTTCTCCAGAGATGCAACATCACAAGCCTATCATCATGGCAAATACTTGGACAATTTCCATTATTTAGTTTTACCAGTTCATATACATTTATAGCTAAGACCTGCCATGCTATGTCAACAAAGTCAAACCATTCTTTCTGTATTCTAATTGTAAGAAGGAAGTTCCATTCAGACAGCTTTTCCAAAGAATTTCTGCTTTGTGAAATAGATTTCTGTAGTTCTCCTCTATCTTGAGTGGCTTTTGGGCCTTATATAAGGTGAACATTATTAAAACAATCTAATAGTATGCATTATTCACCTATTCCTCTAAATCCTGGCAATGAAAACAAATTGTCTCTTGTCTAGCCTCTTGGAAAAGTAAAGAACAACCACCCATGTGCCACAGATCAATTGATGTTAATATATTCAATACCACATGTCAGCTAAAATCAGACTTCCTTCTGGTTTTTCAACCATGTGTTTCACTCATCAGTATGTCCAATCTGATCTTTCAAATATTGTGAATTGAACTGTCAGAAGAATAGTATCAATACCTGTTTGAAGTTGTTAGACTTACTGAAGTAGATCTTTTATGCTTTGCTGATGTAAAACCAAACTCTTTTTAGTAGTAGAATAAAAGGTAAATGTGGTGTGACACCACTGGTCAGTCCCGGACACGGCCCCAAATTGTGACCCACTCTAACTCTGGGCTGATTGCAGCACCATCTGTGATGATCTAACCCTTGGCTGGTTCGGATGGAAATCTGGTTTACCACAGAACCATGTATGACGCTAACCCCTCTGGTTGTCGTGGTCAATCTCTGATTAGATTCGATATCAGCTTTGTCGTTCCCAGCTCGCCTCCAATGTCTGGTTACTGAAGTAACTGCTTTGATCTCTAGTCTAACCTACCCACGTTGTGATTTGATCTTAGGTAGACAAAATCAATCAGGCGTCAGGCCGTAGTGCAAACTGAATCCGGGGCAAAGGTGATACCGCACTAGTGTATGTAAAAGAAAAATAACAAAATAAACTCAAGAGGTCCAAATGTGTTGAAAAAAATAACAAGTATCTTTATATCTGTCTGCTGAATACAGGAGTGCGTCTTTCTCCCAACCCGCTCCTATGGATTTGTGTTTCTTAAGCGAGTCTTGATATCTTAAGTTGTTTTTCAATAAACTGCTTTTTGGTATCTTCAGGCGATATTCATCAAAACTTGCTTTGGTGGTGTAAGTCTAAGTCGTTCTTCAAAAACAAAAAATTGCTTTTGGTTTGAAGTCTAAGTTGGAATGCGTGGAAATCTTTCAGTCAGCTCTTGCGAGGCTGGTCTCCGAGCTCAACAGCTGCTCTCTGTCGATCTGTCTTCGATCTCCAACATAACTCTAACTCTCTGAACGCCCGGGGACGTTCGTTTATATGGATGCCGACCAAAACCAGGTTGGGGCCTGTTGTGGTTTGGGTTCTTCGATAATTCCAAATCCCCAATAAGGATTCTCTTTGTCTTCGGACAGGAAAATTTATCACTTCCCATTTTTTGGAAGTCAATTACTTTCTGTTTTAGAGGGGTTCTCCCCCTTCTGTGGGGAGAGGTCTGAGGAGAATTATCCTCCTAAACTCTTCCTTTCTCATATTGGTATCTCATACCAATCTCTTCAGTGGGCATCAACAGGTTTCCCTTCTTTCTCATATGTTCACCTTCGCCCATCACTCACGCCACCACTTGGCCAATGAACGCTCGGCAGCGTGGGTGTGGCTCAACTGGCCTCAGTTTAAAATTATTGCCCAAAGAAAAAAAATTATCTTCCCTTTTCTTTCTTTCTTTTCTATCGGCCAGAATTCTTATGGTCCACACATCGCGACTATTAAATTTTTTTTATCTTATCCTGGGGTCACCTGGAATTCATTAGCGGAATTTTCACCGACTCATTAACTATTAGCTAGTCAACTATTTAACTGGGTGGTCGACTAAATATCTTTGTCTTTCTCGTCCCAACATTATCGCATTTTCAGATACCCGTTCTCGGCAACAGGAAGTCTGTCGTTAAGAGTTCAAACAGGTAGTAACAATGATTTCCTCTTCTCAACCCTATCTCCTCATGTCAAGATCCGGACATACAACAGGTAGGTCTCCTCGCTGGACACAAGAACCAAAACCAAATGATATCTCCGAAATATAATTAGTGGCTATTCCTTTTGGGTGGTTTCACTGAAATTCCTTCCCGGTCGCATGCATGGTCCAGTTTTTGTTTATCTTTTAGAATTCTGTTTTCCTTGTCGCATCATGACATTAATTAATTTTGACAGAATTTGAAACCCGCTTCTTTTACGAATTTTCTGTCTTCTGCGAAAAAATATCTTTCTTCATAAATGAAAATAATATCTTTACCCATTTTTCTTTTGTTAAAAAAAATAATTTTGCTCGGTATGTCTTTCATCATAGCTCTTTCTCGCCTTAAGTATTTCTCGTTTTTACTTTCCATGCTTAATTGTTAGCCAATTACCATAGCTAAATAGTGTCACATAGAAATGAAACCACATACTCTTGTAATATCTTGGCAATTGTTTTTTTTCTCCAGCTTAACTCTCTTTTTAGCCCTTAAGGGATAATCCATTTCACACATCAAAAAACCGTGCCATGGCAAAAATAGATGAAAGCAACATACAAACCTATCTCAAGGTGCTAGAAGAAATTTGCAAACTTTAGAACACTATTGTACCACAGCTCTCCATATTTGTTTTCAAAATGAGGCCCAGTAGAACACTTGTTTTTAATTGATGGACATTGCACTTGGTAAAAGAGAAAGATCAGTTTTAAGCAAAAGCTTGAGCAGTTGAATGCTTGCGTGCAACAGGCTAGGATAAAGGCAGTGGTAGAGGTGTGAAAGAGAAAAAGTAAAAGTGAAAAGGGTGGTAAAGAAGAGTAACAGGGTTTGTATGAATTTTTTTATTTTTAAACTTCTAACAAAATATTTGTTATTGCTTAATTAATACTGAAGTAAATTATTTAATTTAAATGTTCATTTTGTAGAGAACTGATCTATAGCCTCTTGTACCTTTAATCCATATGAGCATCAGTGGGCCAACATCACTCCCTGAGAGAATTCTCTACACCAATGTGATTACCACTTCCAAATATATACTACTTAAAATATATGTCCCACATTTTTTAAAACAGTCTTTTGCTTTTATACAATCAAATTAAACCGTCATTGTTGAACAAAATTTTGCCAAATTTTCATTGATCCAGACAACATGCTAATGAGGAGATTGACAGCAGGAAAGCACATGAGGGCTTGCTTCAAATAAATGACACAACACTCTACTTTCATAAATTATTTTCTTATCTGAGGTATAATGTCTCAAAACATGAATAGTTTTTGAAATGAGTTTTTTTTTTTAGATGACTTAAAGTAACCAAATTATCAGTAATTACTTTTAAAACTTAACTTTTACAATAGCAGAAATCATTCTCCTTTTGAATTTTTAATGATTCGTCAACTTTGCAATTCTTTACCATAGAGATAACTTAGAAAATAATGAATAAAGAATATTTGTTTACACTGTAATGTTGCCATATTTCACTAGAAAAATATAATTTTTTTAGAAATCATCCGCATATAAATGAAAATGTTTGTTCTCTAATTTGGAATACTACAAAAACTTTTTATTGAATGATTTTGCTTATTCTGGGTTCTTTTTATGCAAATTTATCATAGGATAGATCAAGTTTTTAAGAATATTTACTGCAATTTTTTTATTGCTATCAAATCTGTAGAATTGGAATTTTTTTTTTTTTTTTTTTTTTTAAACTTTCATTCTCTAATACTGAATGCTACTATTGTATGAACCAAATATGGATAATTCTCAAAGCAAATATTTAGTATATTTTCTTGGCTGAAGTTGTATCTCACTTTAGCTAATTTCAAAATTCTTTTAGAAATATTACAAAAATCCAACAACTGACATCTTGCTCTGTCTTAAAAATAAGTTTGTTTTTTAATACTTGTAATCATTTGTCAAATGATGGAAATTAAGTACAAAAATTCAAATTATTTTAAAAACATTTTTTTTTTGTTTTTTTTTTTTTGGAGATGATACAGTTATCTTTCTAAAGTAACAAAAGAAATTATAATTTTATGAGTTTATTTTATTACTCTTGGAACTTATTAATGTTTTCAGCTTACACTTGAACTATCAGTTGTTACAATCTAATGTAATCTGCACTAGAAATAATGGTTAAAAATAATCTTTTATTTTGCAAAATATGAAATATTTTTATAGTGCTAGACATATAGATTCATAGAAACCTAAGCTAACCAAGCTATCACTGCCAAATAAAGTCATTATGAATATATCTTTATTATTAATAGGTTAACATTTAATATATTCATTAAAAATTATTAAATATATATTAATTCAAATTTTAACTTGAGTGAATTTTTTTAAACTGAATATTTAAAAAATTTTTATTATTGTATATATTGTAATAAAACATTTTTTTTTTTTTTTTTTTTGGCAGGTGTTGATTTTAAAGTAAAAACTATAACTGTTGAAGGAAACAATAAAGCTAAATTGGCCATATGGGTAAGAATTTCTTTTGAATTTACTCAAACTTAATAGTTTTATTTTATATTCATTCTTATCCCACCTTTTATAGCTTTCAGACCATGTTGAATGATGAATGAATATAAGTCTAAATGTAAAGCAATGTAAGAAATAGATTAAAAAAAACATTGTTCTTATTGAAATTCTTTTTTTTGTAGTGATTAGAGGACTTTATAATTTGTTGATTCCTACTTGTAAACTGACATAATCTGTATTAGCATAAACTGCTAAATCAGGGAAATTCTTCACACATATTTAACAGTACAAACTACATTAACTATTTTTTGTTGAAAATATGTTTCATTATATTATTTTAAAACTCCTGAACTAATAAAATCAAATTTTGAGCATTTTTATATATATATATATATATATATATATATACGCACACATTTTGATTAAGCTAGATTTAGTGTCATGAAGATGATTATAAAGATAATTTAAATGTTATCCTTATATTATTGTGTGCAATGTCAAAGGGTCAAATATAATTTAAGATTTTAATGAGATATTTAAATCAGAATATTACATCATATGCAAAAGTATACCCTCTCCAATAACTTTTTTACTGGAATATTTATCCAATTAAAATTTTACTGTATTTACATTGTAATATCTCACTTTGTGGGTCAGTTCCTCAGACTAAACTCTGAGAAAAATGATTCTGATACTATCTCCTTACTACTACTTTCTCATTCCTTCACTGTGTTAGGAAATGTTAAATTCCTTGATACATGATAGATTTGATATAGGTGGTTGTCAGTACACTTTGAAAGCAGTGTAACCATTTGACCCTAAATTCCTTAAGCAAATTCTTTATGCATTTTAACATTTGCATAGCAAAAAGATAAAATTTATTAAGTGCCACAAAGGACAGGAAAGCCTTGATCACCTACATCCTGAAGGGACACGGCACATAAAACAACAACTATTGCACACTTTCTTGTATAGCATCAGAGATTTTGATTGAAGTCAAAGCAAATGTACAAAATTGTATATGGATAGGATGTTAGTATGGTTTGTTGGGGTATATATATATATATATATATATATATATATATATATATATATATATATAATTAGTCATGATTGGCTCAAATGAATTAAATCTTACAATTTTTTCTATACATTTTGCAATGGCTTTTATCTATGAGTGACAAGTAGTATGCAAAAAAAAAGATTGAGAAGATTCTATCATATTTTAAGTTGTCAAACTTCATGAAGCCATAATGACTTTATATAAAGATGTCTGTCTGTTGATTTATGAATTTCATTTTCTTTTTAAGAAAAAAATTAAGCAATAACTTAAAATCTCTTGAAACTTTTACCATTAAAGATAGGATCTGCTTCAAAGAAGCTTTTTTTTTTTTCATTAAATTTATTATTAAGTATATTTTTTCCTATTATTCTTAGGACACTGCTGGGCAAGAACGTTTTCGAACTTTAACTCCAAGTTATTACCGAGGTGCACAGGGTGTTATTTTAGGTATGTATATTTAAATCATCTTTATTCATTAATATCTTGGCAAAACTAAATATTTTGTAAATCACTCAATCATAAGAATACCTTAATGTAAACTGTTAACAGGTATAGTATTAAAAGAACTCTGTGTAGGTTTTGAACAAAGTGAATCATAAAGTGAAATATGTTACAATATTTTAAATGTTTGCTACTTGTTTTTTCAAAAATGGACATGAGATGTTTTATGATTAAAAGCTTAAAAAAAAATCTTCAGCAGAAATACAAGATTGTTCCTTATTTCTTATTTTTGATCCAGCTAATACATATTTGTGGAGAACTTGGGCAAGCGTCGTGTTGTATACTTACAAATAAAAAAATTTCAAAATCTTAATTGCTAGACATTAAAACAATAGCTTTGTGTATGTCTTGATAGACAACTTTGTTTGTGAGGTCAATGGACAACTATGTGTCCAACTGGATGTCAGACAATGTGAATGCTAGCTGGAAACTCTGGTCATAGGGGATTCATAGATCATGATACTTTCAATGAATCCGAGTAAAATATATTTACTTTTGATTACAGTGGCATTTTCCAGGTCAAAATTGTTATCACAAAGGTTCTAATGGCATACAAGTGCATAAAGTGTGTTTACATTTTATTTTGTAGACACTATTTCTGATGTATACTTAGCTTCTTTTACAGTGAATTTTTATGCTGAGATTAACTAAATTTCTTTCAAGTTCATCAGTTATAACATGACAACATAAAAAAACAACTTTTCATTGACCAAATATATAAACCCATCTATATTCCTGTTTATGTCGTGTGGAAAACTAGGAAAGGCCTGTTGCAACCTTGAGAGTAAATGAAAGGTGAAAATAAATCTCACATCTCCTATTAAACGATACTAGTGTTTATGAAAAATCAATAAGGAAACACAAAAATTAAACAATTTAAGCAAAAAAAACATACAACAAACTGAAGACAAAACATGGTTATAATTAATAAAATATTATCCACAGATACCTAGATCTTATAGTTTGCTAAAAATACACAAACCCAACTTTCTAATGTGACCTATTATTTCTGATATAGACAGCACCCCTCACAAATTAGCAAACACCCTAGCAAAAATTTTATTGCCTCTTTTTAGGTTTGATCAGCTGTTTATATCTGGTGAACTTATCAACAAATTGAAAAAAATTATTTTTCATATTTCATGGCTAGCTACACATATAAAATTCTTATATATGAACATTCCAATTGACACAATTTTCTAAAGAATGACATCATGAAATAAAAAAAAAAGTAAACCTCTTTTTACCAACTAAGGAAGTCATGAAAATTTGACTTTGTACAGACCCATGTTTATTTTGTTTTTTTTTTTTTCATTCAATAGTTTTGCAAATAAATTTCTCCTATAAGTTGTCTCTTTTTAGAATTTTTACAATCTAGTACATTTCAAAATATCTTAGTTCAAAATGCTGCATACTTTTGCTATATAGATGATGCCTTACTAATCTCTGCATAATACTAACTTATTAGAGCTCATAAATAAACTAAACAAAATGGAGCCAACAACTGAATTCATATATGAAAAAGAAATTACACTTAAGCTTTCATAATAGTCTCTTAATTCAAACTGATACCAGTTTAAAAGTAAATGTCAACAAGGAAAAAAACAAAAAAAAAATCATACAATTCTATTTACCTCACAACAATAAAATCAAATCTAGCATTATTTAAGAGTCTTTAGAATTTGCAGCCCCAAATATCTACATGGAGAAAAATACATTGAAAATATTTTTTAAATCCTTCACTATCCTAGTTATTTTATATATTGGGTTGGGACAAAAGTTTATAGCATTTTTTTTCAATAAGTCCCATTTGAATGTGATTTCATTTTACACATGACTGAAATTTATGAGATATATACAGTAATATCTCACTTTATGTCATTCTGAGCTACATCAAATTCAACTTTACCTTCTGGTGTAAATCTCAGTTCAATGAATGTCATTACATATGATATTGCTAGTCAGCAACATCATAATCAAAGTATATGAAGTAAATTTTTCCTTAAAATATATTTAAAAATGCATAAAAATTAACAATAAAAGTTACTAAATAGTTATTTTTAATGTCTTAAAAAGAATTCTTCTAGGTGTTTCTGCTAATTGTGATGTGTTTGTTGTCATTTTTAAGACAAACCATGTGGTAATAATAATTTTACTGTGTTCATTATTCTTTAAAAAATATAACTAAAGTTTGTTTTTAGTATTCTTTAAGGTTTAGCAATGGTTATATTCTTTCACAAGTTATTTACACTAGTTTTACATTGTTTGTACTTATTTTAAAGCATTACATTCAGTTTGCATCAAAGCTGTATTATGTCACAGCTTTTGGAGTGAATTATGTAGGGAAAGGTATTTCTGTATACATATTCTAAAAGATGATATTTCAATGCATTTTGCTCTACAATTTGTATGTGGATTGTGAATTTTAAATGTTTTTATGCTAAAAGTAAAAATGGAAATGAGATGCATTTTTATCATTTTGATGATTTTTTTTTTTTCTGAAAGGAAAAGCAAAAAACAAATAGCAAAAAAAAGAAATACTGGACTAATTAATGACAGCAATCTATGAAAAGCATCCAGTATTGGTCAGTTGGAAGGATGTTGTTTTCCATCTGGACAATACCAGACTTCATGTCCTTTATTCAAAATCCTGCAGAAATTGATACAACTTGCAAATTCTCAGGAAGCCTGTAAAAACCACAAAGATGCCAAATTCTGTCAAAATATAATCATGGTGCTGCATCAAAGATGGTGGAAGTTTTAAAGTAGACTGACAAGGATTCATCATGTAACTGAAATAAAGACTGACTTAGTAGAATATCAGGAGCTTTTATTGAACTCCATATGCTGAACCCATTCCAATCAGCAGATGTGCAGGCAAGTCTAACAATAAAATAAACAAGTGGTTGTTTCTGATAAACTGGAGGTTGAGAGTTCAATCCCTCTGCTTTGTAAAATATATATATATCTAATAATAATAATTGACTGGCTTCTGCAAAAAAAAAAAATTGGTTGTCATTTTACTGTTTTTGATAGACTCCACTTGCCAATACCATTCTTCAGAGTTCAACATGTCCTCAAAGTCTTTGTTCACTGAGAGAATGAGGTACCATATAGCTTTTAAAAGGTTAGGGTCTCATGACTACTGGTGGTTCTGTAATAATGTGCTAAATAATAATAAGTCTTCTATCCCTCTTCTCTTCACTCAATTTGAGGTATTATCTTCTGCTGATAAAGCAGAATGTTTTGCTCATGAATTTTCTTCCAGTTTTATTGTTGACTCATCTGGAGTATCTTTACCTGACTTTCTACTTAGAGCTGAGTTTCTACTGTGTGATCTGAACATACCTCTGTTTCTGCTATCATTTTAAAATTGGATTCCCACAAAAGATGTTGACAATGATATCCCTGCAATAGTCTTTAAGTATGATTCTGAACTGGTTCCTGTTCTCGCTAAACTTTACAATAAATGCCTTGTTGCTTCTTGCTTTCCTGCTTGTTGGAAATCTTCTGTAGTTCCAGTCCTTAAGAACTGGCAAACTGTCTGATCCTTCTAGCCTTCTATCTCTTTTTGGTAAAGTACTAGAGGCTCTAATTAACGAATTGGTTAAGCATCTCACCTCGCAGAGTCTTCTTTCAGATCAATATAGCTTTCACTTCTCTGTCAACTGCTGATGTATTAAAAGTTATTGCTGAAAGAGTATAATTCCATTAATGGTTTCTCCTATCATCTCCCCTACTTTACCACTACCAAAATAATGTAGTTTCCCTGTTCCTTTTTGTGTAAATATCTTCATGTTCTAATAAGCTTCTGTTCCTGTTCTTTTATCATTCTTTCTATCTAATAATGTTGTTTTTTTTTTTTCTTATATTCTTTCACACTTAGTAACCCCTTGTGTCTTAGTGGCTTTATTGCCTTGCTTGGGGTGAAATGATTTGTTAAAAAATTTTCAACTAATCCAATGCCTTTGATAGCATGGTCCATCAGAAGGCAGCCTTGGCTGCAGCTGGATTCAAGTCACAGTTAGATTCATCTCTTGTATGTGACCCCTGGAGCTATTGTGGAAGTGATTAGGGTAAGTACTAGAAAAGGTCTCAGCTGTAGTTAATCTTTGGTTTCAGAGGAACCTTCCCTTAAATGTGTATTAAGTACATTTACCTCCATACCCTGTCTTTCTGTACTGATACTCCTATTCACTGAACTAGCTGAGCTAGAGAGGACTCTATTTTGACTTCTTTGAGACCTGTTGGCATTTTACATTTGCAATATCTTCTCAAAGGAAGATGCCGGCTTCAAGTAGCATACACTCAGATGATGGGGAGGATCACTATTTACCAAAAAACGAGTGCTCCTTCTACATTGAATGGTGATATGCATGACCTTTCCCAATATTTCATTGATGGGTTAGGACTCACATCACTGGGTACTTAGTGTATTTGTCTGAGGCCTTCTTTTCAGTGTAAACTATGGAAAGATGTCTTGTCTTGCTGCAGTGCCAACATGCTGGAAAATATGACTGGTAGCTTTTATCCCTTAATATCTATCCAGTTGGGAATGGCATTGTATGTTTGCAGATCACTATTAAAACATGGTTACTGGAAATTCAACACATCCTCATTGGATATGAAGGATTTCTGGGACCAGCTGTTACTAACCATAAACTGGGAACTGTCAGGGGTGATGTTTGAGAATAAGTGGTGAGATCACCTTAAAATTACAATTAGGTCTTTTGTTACCAATTATAGCAGACAACACAGCCTTGATGGACAAGCAACACAAAAGGCACTAGAATCTAAAATAGAGCCCATTGTTAAATCTGGAGCTAGCAATGAGGTAGTCATAGCTAAAGCTGAGCTTGACCACTTTGCTTAACAAGGAGGACCAACTTCAAGTAGTTAGAGCTTGTTTAAATAGAATGACTCTCAAGGCAACAAATATGGCCACA